GCTCCGATGAGCTGGAGGACATAGAGGCTGCCGAGAACGAGGCCGAATTTTATCAGTGTCTTTATATAGCGCGCAGTTGTGCTGTATTTGCTGTTCTGCTGCATTTTGGTAATTATAATAAACAGTTGTTCCAGCCATGTCAGAAGGTATTCAAGTTTCTCTCTCTATCTCTGCTTTTACAGTGCTCGTGTCCTTGTCGTTTGTGCATCGTGATCATGCGCTCTGGCAGCGTAATCCTTTGCGGAATCACATTTGGGCCTCCACCTGCCTGGTGCTGTTGCTGGTGCACGGCTTCGTCTGTGGCCTGCAAATGTTGTTGGATGAGTCGCTGGAGCAGCTATTGCCACAGCTCTGGCTGCCCATTCTTGTGCTAATCGGCAGCAGCTTGCTGAGTCTCATCATCAGCGAGCTGGCCAAGCTGCAGGAGAACAAGTGAGTGCAGCTACCAAATACTTAGTTGAAATATTTAATCAATCTTTTGTGCTTTGCAGAGTGAATGCGCGTTATCAGCGTCGGGCGCGACTTGATTTTGGCACCAAGCTGGGCATGAATTCACCATTTTAGATGTTACCAAAACGAAAGACTTGGTAGCTTGGCATTAGATGTGCCAAGGCTCTGTATATATATATATACATATATCATAAACCGAACGCTTTCTTGTAATTATTATTATGTTGCTTTAGTACATATTGATTATAATTTAATTATTTTGTGTGCCTGTGAATAGTTTGTTTAATCAACTATTTAATTTATGCAACATTTTTGATTATTTGTGACATCCGCATTTCTTGTTAGCTTTTAATACGTTCGATTTTACTGTTGCTTGTTACAATGACAAAACTTTGTGTACTAACATTTAAAAGACTTGCAATTATTATATAAAATATACATATTTCTGGTAAATAATCCAAATAAAGACAACTGCGTGTAAATAAGTAAAAGTTATCGAAACAAAAAATATGTATTTGTAAAACTTATTCTCCCTCCGTTCTTCTATCTATGCTGCTATGTACTTTAATCCATATTTTTTCATGGAATCTGTAAATGAGCTGCGTCAATAATCTATGGCACGCCTGACTGGGTGTTAATCGACGCCGGCACGCAATTGCTTGGGCTATCTTTTGACCCACATCCATGGCATCTACGCAGCGATGTGGTTGACAAGTTGCCCACGGGCTTCTTTTGTAGTCAAGAAATCTTTTTAATTTGGCTTGTATTACATGTATTAATCGCTGGACCTGCCTTGGGGCAATATCTTGGTGTTTGATATCAATTAGCAGCTTCTTTTTTCGAGTTAAGCAGCCCTCGACTTCATTCATTTGCGGCCAAGGGCTTGAATAATTGATGTTCTACATAAGCCAAGTATTTTGTGAGGCACAGTATTCTCTTTTGTATTGACTTTATACTTAAAAATGTTAAGCGAGCAGGCTGCGGGCTCAAATCCACACGTGCATTGATGTAGCCGAAGGCCTTAAAGTGTCTTGCAATTCATTTTTTTGCTGGTTTTTAGTGATCTTATTTTAATAGTCTATTTTTAGAGTCTAGACAAACCTATTATCCAAATATTATAATAATGAAAATTAGAGATATGGTTTGAGAGTCATCTATTTATACTGTAATAAGGTTATATAAAGAACTATTCATAATAAATTACCTGGAGACGATTGCCGATCGATGAAAATTTAAGCAAAATTGTGTTTCTTTTTTTGTCTCCAATAAAAACCCCGTACCTCAAGTCAGCCAAACAATTATTTATATTATGGAAAGCTCGCCAGAGCCAGCATCAAATTATCTAAATAAATGAAAACAAAGTTAAACAGGTTAGGTTATAAAAATATCTAAGTTCGAATTTAGAGAATATTTAATGATCGAAAAAGTAAGTTTAAAGGTTCGAAGAAATTTAAGTTGATGAAAGTGGAAAAAGAAGGAAACGCAGAGTTAAAAATATTTCTATAAAGAAAAACCTTGAAATGTTTTAGGAAATGTGTTCAAATTCTAGAAATTTTATAATAAACGTAAAAAGGAATATAAATTTAAATATATAGTGTTAATAATGAAATATTAAAATAAGTATAAAAAGGTATATAAAGGAATATATATAGGGTTAATAATGAAATATAATAGGTGTAAAAAGGAATATAAATTTATATATAAGGTTAATAATGAAATGTTACAATAAGTATAAAAAGGTATATAAAGGAATATATATAAAGGGTTAATAATGAAATTTTATAAAAGGTGTATTAAGGTATATAAAGGGGTTTATAATGAAATTTTATAATAGGTGTAAAAAGATATATAAAGGTTTTTATAAGGTCAACTTGGCTTGCATACTAACTACTTCGTTAGTGTTGTGGGCATTCTTGCTGTTAATAAATATGTTGCTTTCTAATTGGTTGCAAAATTGCAGACACACGCCCGAGTCAAGCTTTGACGGAGTGTGTGAAGAGTTGCCCAGAGATATTTTGGACACGCCGCTAAAGAACATAACGGCAGATGCGATCCCCATATGTGGAGTAAGAATCAATTAACACCCGACTACGACGACGACGACGACGACAGCGAAATGAAAGTGCATGAAGCATCTCATATTAACCATATACTAGAGTATATAGATGTATATAGATCACTTCTAGTAGCACCTTAAGTGGGTCATGAAAAAACGAAATCAAATACCTATGCACGAGCCGACAAATAAAACCAATCCGTCGAAGTCTTTTTCAGTGGATTCGAGAATTTCGCGCGACGCGTTGCACACGGAGTTACGGAGCTCGTGCGGACAATGACGAGTGCGTAGATCGTACGGATTTATAGTGTATCCATTAAGAATATAGAAAATAAAGAAAGAATACAAAAAGTGTCAAGAAAATAGAAAGAGATAATATCGCATAATGCCAGGAGCCGGCGCCAAGTGTGCGCTGCTTTTGGTCATTGGCCTGCTGCTGGGCTCCATCCTGTTGCCAGCGCAGATTGAGGCCTACTCCCAGGTGCTGGTCAGTGGCACGGATCAGGGACCGCGCATATTCAAGGCGCTGAACACGGATTTGATATTTCCCAAAACGTGAGTTAATTGGATTCAAAGCGTGCGCATTGCATAACCCACGTCATTTTCCGCAGCTTTAACTCGAGCGAAAATGTGGTCTCAACGACGACGACGACAACAACGACAACTGCATTGCCGCTGCCGATACCATATAATCACCAGCCGGAGCCGGCTGCTGCCTCGGAGACGCCGTCCGCCGTCTTTGTTACGCCGTTGAGCCTAACGAATCAGGAGCTGCAGGAAACGTCCAGCGAGGCGCCACCAATGGGCCTGGTGGAGGCGGCCTCCACTGGCCGTGCCGTGGACTATCGCACCACATATCCATTTGGTCAGCTCATAACGCCGCTGATGAAGTCCAAGCGGCCACAACAATTCAATTCCAAGCCGCGTCCCTCACAGACGCGCATCTACCCAAAGGGCAGTCGCTACCAGGTGCCAAATGGTGGCTACAAGCGTGGTTAGTATGCGGCCGGGGAGGTGCTTCAAGATGTCCACATCTTAAATCTTCACATACTTCCAGGTCAAATTGCCGATCGTTTTGCGCCTGGACAGGCTGTTGCCTCGAATATATTCAAGGAGCAGCATCAGCACGATTCGCACGACCACAGTCATGGCGGCAAATTGGCACTTGGCTCGAATGTGGTGCCCTCGTATGTGTCCACCAAGGACACGTACTCCTTTCCGCCGCTCAACACGAAATACCCATCGCCGGCGCAGGATCTAAAGGCGGCGCAGCCCTCGGATACGATATCCAGTTATTTGCCACCAGCTTCGGGCAGCGATTTAAGCAATGCGGGCTACGTATATCCTGGACCTGTGATGGGCTCCTCAGGCTATTCGTATCCTAGTCCAGGCAATGGTGATAAGGAGGCCGCTGCTAGCACGAGTGCGGTGCCCGCGGCACAGCCCGACGACGATCCGGGCAACGATGACACGATTGGCGTGCTGCCTGCCAGTGCGCAGGATAATCAACCGCCTGCCAAGAACCCGGCCGGTATGGATGCTGGTGGTCCAGGTGCAGATGCAGACGCTCCAGATGCTGGCGGAGATGGCGGCGACACGGACAATGGTGGTAATGCGGGCGGCGACGATTCGCCTCTGCCAGCCCTGCAAACTGATGGTGCTCAGCCAAGTGACGACAACAAGTACGATCCTAGTATGGAGTATGCAACTCCGCCGCCTGGCTGGCTGGAGGCGCATCCGGATTCGGCGGCACCAAAGCCAGCAGATCATGATCATGATCACAGTCACGATCACATTTATGATCACGATCATAGTCACGACTATCCAGAGCATCCGCATCCACCGCCGCACTTCCATGATCATCATCACGATCCTTATCCCGATCATTATCCGGACGTTATTCCATCCTATCCGGATGTCTCTTATCCAGAACTTTTATACGATGATCACCATCATCATCATCACCATGTGGAGCCACCACCACCGCCTCCACCGCCGCCGCCACCACCACCGCCACCAACTGAGCCTCCACCGCCGCCCCCACCCCCGCCAGAACCACGTGTCAAAAAGTACAGTTACTTCTACATTGGTCGCAAGCTCTGGTACATACCTTTGTACTTCACCATCTGGTTCAGCTTCTATATTCTGTGGCTAATCATCAAGTCCATTGCACGCCACAAGGTCAACTTGCCAAATCACTATGTGTCGCGGCGCAGTTTGCCCGACTATACGGAGCAGAGTCGGGACGAGTACATTAACGATATGACGGTTAAGGTGCTGGAGCATATAGATAGTTTTAAGCAAAAGTATTTGAACTGATAAGGACACTACAAACTAGTTACGGCTAATAAAACACGTATTTTTATAAAAAGACCCGTTTTCTTTGGTTTGGAATGCACAACTTTTGGCGCGAAGCCAAGTTGGCAGCGCCAAATAAAAAAAACCGTATTAACATATCGATAACATTTTCGATAACATATTTGCAATGCATGCGGTCACATTTATTCAGACAGTGTGTCGCTTGGGATTTGTTTACGTTTAGTTATTTTCGCAAACGAATAAGAATAAAAACAATTCGCCAAGATGTCGTATATGTTACCGCATTTACACAATGGCTGGCAAGTGGACCAGGCCATATTATCAGAGGAGGACCGAGTCGTTGTAAGTAACTGGCCACGTTCGCCACAGACCAGCGGCGTCTCAAATATGCCTATTAACACCTTCCAACTATTCAGGTCATACGCTTTGGACACGATTGGGATCCGGCGTGCATGAAAATGGACGAGGTAATGTACAGCATTGCCGAGAAGGTCAAAAACTTTGCTGTCATCTATTTGGTGGACATAACGGAGGTGCCCGATTTCAATAAAATGTACGAATTGTACGATCCCTGCACGGTCATGTTCTTTTTCCGCAACAAACATATTATGATTGATTTGGGCACCGGTAATAACAACAAGATCAACTGGCCGCTGGAGGATAAACAGGAAATGATTGACATTGTGGAGACGGTATATCGTGGCGCACGTAAAGGACGTGGTTTGGTGGTTTCGCCCAAGGATTACTCAACCAAATATAGATACTAAGCACTAATTTGTTTAGTACATTAGTTTAGGCTTTATAAATGTTTGCGAAAAAGCTTGATTGTAGCCCAAAATGAAATGTCTTTGGACTTTGGCAACTTTTGTGTATATTTTTCTTTTGGTTTATTATTTTGTTGTTGTCACATTTCTCAATAATATCGCTAACATTTACATCAAATTGGGTTTTTTTTCTTTTATATATGTATAACATTTAACTAAGTTGTTTTTAATAGCTCGTTGGCTTCATAACTGTATTTAATAGTATAATTTTTCGATTGCTTTTCTCATGCTTTATGTCAGTTTTTACCAATTGTGATTTAAATTTAGCTAAAGGTACATACATGATGATGGAAATCAGAAGTTGGATTGTGTAAAATACTTATTAGAAATTGTATTAGTACAAAAGTATAAAAGCAAACGGCACAACAAAAGGAGTCTCGAGTTAAACAATAAATAAAACATTGTCAAAAGTATTTCTAGAGTTTCTTATGAATGCGCTGAACCATTTCCAATACATTTTGGTTTTTCTCCTTTCACTTATTATTGTTCGTTTAATACAACAGCTCGGTTTTTATTTTTGGGTCTTATTCTGTAATAAGCTTAGGTTTAACAATTGGTTCTGCTACATTTATTTTCCTTTTTTTTTTTTATTACTTAAACAATTTAGATTTGTTTATTATTTTTGCTTGCGTTTCTTTTTAAATATATATATGTATGTATATATATTTAGCTACATTATTAGTTAATATATATGTTTACTTGCTTATTTGAAACAAATTTTAACGCTACAATCGTTTTAAATTTTTCATTGGTTTTTGTTTTTCCATACTTCAGCATATATATAACCAACAATTAAATATTTATATGCAAGTATATGGTTGTTGATTTTTCATTTTTGATATACCATTTCCTAGGCGCGCCTCTTGAGTTGATTTTGTCATCGTATAAAATACTTATTAGCATTCAAAAATATTTGAAATAGGGCTTGATTTACATCTTATGCAATTAGGATAGGTACAAATTAGGCTCAGGCAGGTGAGAAAGTCTCTAATAGATTTTTCGTTGAATTACCCTCCCCGCAAACAACAAAATGCAGCTCTAGTTTTAATATTATTATTACATACATATTCTCATTTTAATTAGGTCTGTATTTTGATTTCAATTTTGTGGTTTCTTTTTTTTTTATTGAAAAATACAATTTTTTTGTTGTAATTTTTAAATTTAATTTTCTATATTTGCTATAAGTTTTTCTCACTTGTGGAGCAAATGCATTTTCATAGAAAAATAGAGATGCGTAGGTGGGATGAGTTAGGAAATTGTTCATACTATTTAAACATTTGCTTACGTAACGCTATATTTACTTTTTTGCTTATATTTCCTTTTTGACAACTAGATTTTATTTGCATGATTCAACAATTTGCTTTCGAATTACCATTTAATTTGTCTCGGAAGAGTTGGGAAATGCGAAGTAGGTGCTAAGGAAGAGAAAGATTCTAGAAATGTAGAAAGCAAGCAACAGCTATTTAGTTCGACTAATGCTTATCGTCTTTAAGTTCTCATCTATGTAGGTTTGTTTAGGCTTGTTTCTGTCAGTGTACATCAGTTAAAGTTTTCATATGTTGCAAAGTTCTTGCTCTGTGCACAATCTATATAAAATTCTAATTTACAATACTTCAAGTATTTCATTATTTAGATTTCTTTGTTGGCTGCTTTTTAAGACACTAGTAGAAGAATGTTTTTCTTTTCTTTTGTTTTGTTTTTCATTTTAGAAATAAAGTGAGGGAGACTGATATCTGCTGCTGGCTGCTGGCAAACTACGAGTACTATATAGAAATATATATATCTCGATATATATATATAATGTATATGTATAAACATTTGCTCTGTTGCGCACAATATGTATATAAATATACATATATTTGTATGGTATGTATTTAATAGATAGTGTGAAAAATAAATCCGAGTATCACTACTTAAATTTTAGAGTTCTATTAACAATAATAGACAACAGTCTCTAAGTACGAATACGTTGTTGTTCTTCTGATTTACTTTTTCGGTTTTTCTAAACGAATTTGCTTTTTTTCATTTTTATTTCTATGCGTAATACCCAAACTAGAGCCCTGCATCGCGTTTCGGATACTCGAACAATTATTTCGGTTGGGCGAGTACTCAAACGAAATTTCGATTCAATCGAAAAAATAAGCTTGAACCGTATCGAACATGTTGCTGACTCGAGCAGTTCGAACCTCGTTTGAATGGATGTCGTCGGTTTAAGTGAATAATTTATTCAAACATTGCTCACCTCGATAATTGAAAGCTCGAGTCCGTCGCTTATCGACTAAATCGATTGAGTATCCCAGTTTTATGCAAGTGATTTAACCGATGCAGGGCTCTAGCCCAAACAAAACGCATTATGTTGTCCGCTTGGCTAGGCAACCCTGCTAGCTCCGGGTGACTACCCTAAAAGTCAGTTGTTAAGCTCTTGTATGGAACGGCCACCAGCCGGGCTAGAATAGCGTCTCTTTCGACCACTTTCTGGTGGTGCCGGGCAGACTGGGATCACGCTCCTCCTCCACACTAAGCCCATCGGCCCCATGCACCCCCAACTCCTCCTCCTCCTCCTCATCATCTTCGTCGGTTGGCAGCCGAATGAGCGGCAGCTCCAGCATAACAGCCGGCGTCGCTGTTATCTCGCTACTGTGCTGGTTGAGATTGTGAGCACTTTTGCTAGCCCCGGCGCCGCTGCCGCCGCCGCCGCGCAGGATGAGCTCCTTTAGCGTTGAGGGCATGCATATGCTTTGCGGCCTGCTGGTGGCTATCACTGAGTCCGATATGGAGGAGGCGCACGGATCGTGGCCCAGTCTACTGTTGGATGGCAGTTGTGCTAGTTGCTGTGGAACTGTTACTGCTGGGCCATGGCTAGCGGCAAGCGGTAGATTTGTGGCCGGGCCACTGGAACACACATAATGATTGTCCATCTGTGGACTTGGACTGGTGGAGTGACCCACGCTGATGACCGTATTGAGGCTGCTGTATTGCGTATCGCCACCACAGCCTGAGGGACTCGAACCGGATGCAGCAGCAGCCACCGCATCCATCATGCCCAGCTCAGTGTTCAGCGTGGAGCATGTGTCCTCCTCAGTGGTTGTGGTGGTTGTCGTTGTTGTTGTCGTTGTCGTCTGCGGATCGCTGTGCTGCTGCAGCAGCTGTGCGCGACGCTGCGGCGGACTGTAGATGACAGCGCCGAAATGCGTTTCCAATGGCGGCGCCATGGCGGCCCGATCACTGGAGGAAGCGCTAATGGTGCGATGACGCTGCAGCAGCGGACGTCTGGGACGTGCACCCATCATGGGCACAGCGCTCAGACTGAGTCGCTTGATGGGCAACACGACTGCCTGTGGCTGTGGCAGCGGTTGCGTCGCCTGCGCCGCCTGCGCCGCAGCCAGCGCTAGATTGTGCTCCTCACTGTCGCTGCTCAGCTGCTGCATATCGTCGTCCGTATCGGCGGCGCTCTCCTCCAGCCCAAACACCGAGTCCTCGTCGAGTGAGCGCAGCTCCGAATCTGGGCATTCCAGCGAGGAGATCTTAAAGGAACTTAACGAGGCAAGCGGCGCACGCTTGCCCTCATTCACCAGCGCATTGTGCAGCATTTTGGCCGAAATGGTGTCCAGGCTGGCGCTGCCGCCATTCAGCCGATCCAGACTGATTGGCGTGCTGTCCACACTGATGCTGCTGGAGGTGGCATTGCCCGGCGCAGCCGCATTTGGCGTATACGGATAGCTGTTGTTGTTGCTCTCCACATTGCGCTGCAGCTCGACCAATGTCAGCTTGCGACGCACGCCCAGACGCAGCTCCTCCGAGGGCGAGTCGCAGAAATGAAAGGCCTGCGGCTGGTGCTGACTGGCGGGCGGCGCTGATTGCAGCGGCTTGGCCAGCGGCAGACCCAAGTCCACGATTTCCGACAGCGTGCTCTGATTATAGGGATACACGTCCACCGTGTCCGCGCTGATCGAGTGAATCTGTTGCTTGCGTCCGGCCTGTGCGCTCTCCGGATCATACGAGACAATGCTGTGCTTGCGCTTGATGCTGGGCGCGCTTAGACCAAGTGGAGTGCCTTTCGCTGGCGCTGGCTCATGTATGCTGCGCTCCGATGGACATGGCGAGGCCTTGGGCGTCGGCTGTATCACCTGTATGTCCGGATAATAGTAGTCCCAGTTCTCTATGCTCGATGTGCGCGACGCCGTCGACAATTTGCGCTGCAGCGTCGGCGGCAGATTGCTCATGCCCAGCGTATAGGCCGAGGTGCGACGCTCCAGGTAGGAGCTATCCGTGCTGCAACAAGTCATCGCGCTGCTGCGACGCGAATCCTGACCCTGTGGCGAAAGAAGCAGAATGTGCGAGCGGGCTTAATCTTCGTATTCAATCGCCATCAATATAGCTTAACCAAACCCGAACCCCCAATATCGGACTACTATATCCTAAAGCTCTCTTGGAAGAATAGGTGGAAGTCAGAAGAATCATTTCTAATGGGACTTTGTCAAGTTCAAATTAAATTTGGAAACAAAAAGTTGCCTATAGAAAACTTTTTCAATTACGTTCTTAAAAGATCCCTTTCCCTAATTTCTGAATTGTTCTGTTGATTAAAGGGATCTTGATAACCTTTCGGCTAACCAGGGCAGGCCCAACTAAGCAGTACAATATGGGATGCTATTTGGTTCGCCTTCAAGCTCGCCCACTCACCGCCATCGGCACGGATAGAAATCCCTGTTTGCTGCGCGTGGAATCTGTGCGTTTGTGCAGCTGCTCCTGTTCGTCGTTCTGTGCGTCACACTGCATATACTCCTCGTGCTCCAGTTCGTCCTCGGTTTCCATAAAGTAGTCGTCAGTGCCAAAGCTGCCGCCCATTGGATAATTGCTAAAGATGCGCGAAGATTCCGAACCGCTCTTGCGACGTCCGTGCGAACCAGAAGCACCGCCGCCGGGTGACATAGCCGAGTAGGAGAAGCGACGCGATGGCTCCAGCAGATAGCTATAGCCCACCGGACCGGGCACACCAACGCCACCTGCAAGAGCAAGAGATTGGAGCATTACAGATCAGGCGAAGGGGCGTCTGACTTACCCACGGATGCGCAGCGATAGCCGCGATTGAGCAGCGGGGGCGCGCTTACATTGCCCAGGGAGAGCATGCGCTGGCGTCTATATACCAGGGCATCATACTCGTCCGGGTAGATGGACATGCCCGTGGCAACGATTGCCTCCTGTAGTTCGCGCTCCTCCTCCTCCTGCATGCAAACAGCGGCCACCGCTGCCATTTTGGGATCTTTTAGCACCTTGAGCGTCTCATTGCTACTGCTGCGGCTTTTCCAGACGATGAGGAACACCATCAGACCAAAGAAACCGCCAAGCGTGGCCGCAATGCGCACACCCGTCATCACGTCGTAGGTGGCAAAGAATTCCTCACGTATGCGCGCCCGTTCGGCGGCATTTTCCGCATCGGTCAGATTGCGCTCGCCGGGCGGCAGTAGTGGCAAATAGGGCTTGGCCGTGGCCGGAGTGGGCTTATGAGGTGTTGCTGTGGAGGAGGAGCTAATGGCGGCAGTGTTGCTGTTGTGATTGGAGTACGCCGGCGGTGCCGGTGATGCTGAGAACGGTTCGTGTACACCATTTGCGTCGGGATCAACAAAGGCGGCCAGTTGAGGGTTCTTATGGTTGTTATTGTTGTTGGATGCACGGGCGATGCGTTGCAGTTGTTGTGGCTGGGCTGAGCCGCGGGCATGACTAGCTGCTGTTGTTCTTGTTGTTCTTGTTGTTGTTGTTGTTGCAGTTGCTGTTGTTGCTGTTGACGGCGTTGCTGCAGACGACGGAGCACGTCGTGAAAGTATGGCCATCTCTATTGAAACATTGTCTGGATTGCAAAAATGAAAAAGAAGAAATAATTAGCAATGCAATTGGCGGTTAAAAATTAACTGTATAAATTATCGCCAAGCGCTGCCAGCTCGCTGTTGAGCTATTGTGAATGTAGTCACATGGCGTTGCCAGAGAGACAGAAATATAATTTGCATATATCGATAATAAACGTTAGACATAAATCAAAATATTGGAATTTAAATATACCATAAAACTTTGTACTTAAAGGCGCACAATCACAACGTCCTCAAGAGCTTTAAATAATTTCACTGTTAATTTCTACAAGTCGCGCCCTAAAAAGTATGCTACGCCTTAATGTGCTTGAATAAATAAATTGTGAAACTCTCTCGCTGCGCCATTTCCAATCTAGTCACGGCTGCTGCCGCCTCCCACACTGCAATTAAAATGCCATAAACTCATCCACATTTCTTGACGCATTCTTCACAAGCTTGGCAAAGTTTTTAATTGTTTTTTAGCGCTTTCACTTCACATTTCTGCGCAGCGCGTTTCACACGCTATGCAGAAATTCCCTTTGGGAAATAACTTGGTACATTTTTTAACTTTCTGTTGAAATGAGTCAATTAAAGTTACATTCATATATTTACGAGTGAGTGTGTGTGTGGCTCCGTTACATCCTTGGATTTTCAACAAGTTGCACGCTCAATAATTCAGAAGGACGAATCGCCTGTTGCCTGCTGCCTGCTGCCTCTCCCCCCCCTGCCACCTGATGTTTGTTCTGTGCTGCCCGCTGGCTCATTGTCATTGGCAGGCAGTTGGTGAGCGCTGCTCACCCCGTACACCCTGTACGCACCTCGACACACACCCTGTTCAGTTGCCGCCCATCTAATTGTTCGTTTTTGTATTGACAGCCGCGCAGTTGCGGAGCTGCGCTCTGCTGAATTTTCTATCTGAGCTGGCTTTTTTTTTTGTTGTTTTTTTGCCTTCAATTTGCCCTTCTTTTTTGTTTTTTTTGTTTTATGTAGCTATTCCATATTGTGTGCTTGCCGCGCACATCTCTTCTTTTATTTGGTATTCTGGCCAAGGACGCGCTGACCATCAGTATCTTTTCCAAATGTATTATTGTAAAAGTTCTGGTCTAATGTGCCGCTCCTTTACCTTGCAACCGTATTCTTCATATCTTTGTGTGTGTGTGTGTGTGTGGCTTACTTTCTTTTCTTTTTTTTTGCGTTCCGTTTTTTGCAGCTTGTTTCCATTCTTTTCTTTTCCAATTTTGTAGATTGCTTGGGCAGACAAAAAAAGTTTTAATGGCCATTATGCGTTGGCCATAATTCGTGTTCCTTTTCCCTGTGCAGCATAATGAGGCGCAAATGTGAAGCGAAATTGCAGTCTAAGCACTTTCAAGTGATTTTTAATGACTTTTCAGTTTTGTATTTGTATTTTGTGCCATTTTTTCCGACTGGTTGGCTGCCTTTTAATGCCTCTTATTCTTACCCAAAATGGCAAATTTGTTAGCAAGCAATAAAATAAATTGTTTCTAAACAGATAGGTTAAGAATGTTATCACGTTGATATAAGAACATAAAAGTAAGCAAACCGAGTAAGCTAACAAATTAAGTACTTTTTTTTAATTTTGAAATAAATCGTTGGGCATCTATTTAAAAGTTCAGCTTAATTATATTTACTAATTGTGCATTTGCCTGTTAGTATACTTAATATTGTTTTCGATTTCGATTCACAATAGTACTATCGATAGTTTTTTAACTATGCATTCAAAAAACTTTGCATGGTCTCACTGGCAGAAAAACTAATCTTAAGCATTTGCTACTCACAAAAATTAAACTTTTCTTTTATTCCACTGGGCATCGTGGTTTTTGGTACTTTGAATAAGTTGCAGCTTCCGTTGAGCAAACATATATACACACATACATAAATGGGCTATATAACGCCCTAGAAAAAGTGTTGAAGCTACTTATTTGAACAGAATTGATGGATTAGCAAGCTCGAGGGGATTTAGTTGGCCAGCTACACAAAACTGATAATTACATTTAGCTGGCTCAAGCTAAAGTTGAGCAAAACAACAGACAGACAGAGTGAGAGTAGAGAGAGGGAGAGAGGAAGAGGTATGTGAAAGCAAACGAGATATAGGCAAAACATAGAATAACATGAACATTAACGATGTCGGCGCATTGAAAGTGTATATCAACACCATATCGATGTCAAGGCAATGTGCGGGGCAGGGGGATGGGTCGAAATGAGCGGAAAATTGTCAGCCAGCCTAACAGAGCAACATGTTGTTGTTGTTGTTGTTGTTGTTGCTGTTGTTGGTGTGCATGATGAATGATTGCGGTTAGACGGGGAGAGCACATACAATGGCAAAGGCAACGGCGAACACTGTTGACAGGCGGCCTCAACTTGAATTGGCACACGTTGCGTATGTGTTATGTGTGTATTTGTGCGTGTTTTACGTGCGTGTGTGTGTGTGTGCGAGGACGGCACAATAATTCATCAATGTTAGCGTCATGTGGACGCTGTGTGTGTGTGTGTGTATTTTTTTTCTCCTTTTTCTGTGCATTTGTTGCCGCAGGCCATTTTTGCCTTTTAACGGAGCCCAAAATAAAATTGACGGCAAATCAATTGAAATTACATAGATATGTATAAATACACATACACACACATGTATTATCTGGACATATGTGTATGGCCGACTAACAATGTCTTCATTGTTGTTGTGCGTGTGTCTGTGTGCCTGTGTGTGTGTGTGTGTGTATTTGCCACATCGCATTGAGCTGTTCTTTGAGTTTTGCATTGACAAAGAAATCATTCATGTGTATTGAGGCGCAAATACATAAAAATTTATAACCACACTCCGATACACCTAAATAGCGACACCTTAAAGTATATATATATAAGATATATAGAAAAAAGTTTTTAAAGGTAGTATATCAAAAATACATTTAAATACAATCAGAAGAATTAGTTAATATTTACAGAAATATAAACATTTTTTAAAAGTATTAAAATGTAAGAAAATTACTTTTTGTATATTAATAAAAATAAAATATATTATCTATATCAAGCTTTTGGGTCTTCGATAAAGTTCGAACCGAAAATATATTATCTATATCAAGCTTTTGGGTCTTCGATAAAGTTCGAACCTGATTTTTAAGCCGTAGGTAGGTGCCGGGGCTTAAAATTATTTAAACATATCCTTACCCATCTTTTTAAATAATCATATAATCATTGTAAATATCATATAAGCTACTCACTTGTAAGTATACATTCATAGAGATCAGAAGCCACTGATAGATTCCAGCGCAAAATAAAACATATTTAAATAAAAATAAAATCTTGATTTTCTCATTGATCATCAACTTTAATTCCCAATTTAAAATTTTAACAGTTTTTTCCAAGTAAAAAGCACAAAAAGGGTTTTGTTACTCTTAAAATGAAAAACGTGTATATGTCTAAATCAATATTAATTGTAGGGTTGAGTAGATGGCAATAAAAATATCGTAGCTTTAAAATATTGTTCGCTATTATTAAGTTTATTAAGCTTACATTAAACTTAGCTTAAGGCATCTGTTTCTATGCAAATGCGCAGCACTGTACAACCACAACAAGCAACGAATACACCTATTTACCCCATAAGCTGCTTTCACAAGCATTAAGCAAATGAAAATGGAAATTAAAATGAAAATGGAAAATATATATACAATATTATTTCGGACGATATGCTAAGCGCTTATATTATTTTTAATTAATTTAAATGTCTGCATAAGCTGCTGAAATGATTTGAATTACAAATTGTTAGCCCCAAGATTTTGACGGGATGGTAGAGAGAGAGGGACGTTGGGTTTAGGGGGTGGGATTGGCCAAGTCAAGGCTCAGGCCCTTGTGTCTAGCTGCCCGGCTGTCCGGCTTATTAGCGTGTATTTTGCTCTATGGCGCCAGTTTCAGTCAAATTATATGGCACGCCCTCTTATCCCCGGTACGCCCCTTCGGCAGCCGTGGGCCATTTAACAAACATTTCGTTAATCTGGTACACTTGGCAGGATCTCTGGCCTTAGCTGTGTGTATGGCTCCAGTTCCGCGCCCCACATCCTTGCCGGTGCACATCCTTGCCTACATTGTGCTGTCGTTTGTTACTGCTTATTGTTGTGCCTTTATTGTTATGGCCATGTTTTTTTGTTGTTTCATTTGGCGGCATTGTTAGCCGCGCCCGCTGTGCCCCGCCCCGCCCCGCGAACTCTGCTGCGTTCGTGTGTGTGTCTGTTTGTATTTGTATTTCTATATACTCTGTACTCTGATGAAAATGGGTGGCAAGAGGGTGTATTCGTTTTGTGAAAATTTATTTGACACGCTCAGAGACATCCCTGAAACTATATGTATATATATTCTTGATCAGCAGTTGATTGTCCTTGTGTCCGACTCGATATCACAGAAAGCTACAAAAGCTGGCTTTAAAATTCAAGTATAGTCTCGCATATCGTAGTCAGAACCAGGTTTTGTATCCTTTAGAAGTGTCTCAAATTTCCGCATAATCGATAAATATCGATTTGTATACTCCTTTTTTTTACATATATCGGAGATTGGAGGAATATCATTATAAGTTTTGAAATTCTCAGTTGAAATTCTCTCATTAATTGAATCTTAATATCGATATCTTAATTAGCAAAAATTGGTGGAATATTTAAAAATCGATAAATGACCATGTTGATACATTGGTTGTAAATTATCAATAGCTCTCGTTAATTACCCAAAATCGATAAATATCGATGTCGATCTGCGACTTTTAGCGTAAATTCCATATTAAATTAAATGTGGATATGAAACATGCCATTAGATTTTCCCTTAGTATACATTAATCAATAAACGGATGCCTCCCCATCTTACACTTCTTTTTTTAAAAGTACGTACTTGATTTTCCGTATTTACGTATAGTTGAAAGCTACTTTTCAGCCCTGGAAACCGCTCCATTATAATCGGAGAACACAAAAAGAAAAGAAGACTGAGTTTGTGCTTAGTCTGGGACTGGAGA